AAAAAAAAAAAAAAAGAAAAATCTCGTCTCGCGATCCCCGGTCGAATCATTATGAACAACGCGCAAGATATGTCGCCCGATTTCGTGTTGATGCGCCTGGTTTCCGCGGCCGAAGATGACCGCCTGGACGCTGAAAACGGGAACCTGCCCGGAGGAGGAGTGGTGGTGGTGCCGGCGGGGCTGGGGAAGGAGCTGGGGAAGGAAGCCCTGGCGCTGGACATCGGCCGGGACCCGGCGGCCGTAACCCTCGAGCGTCCCGCCGGACGCCTGAGCGACAAAGCCCGGCGTCCGGCGAGCGGCGAGCGCGCGCCCGCGCCGGACGCCCGGCCGGCCGAGGGGCCGAGGGCCGCGCGGACCGCCACCCCGCCGCCGCAGCGCGCCGTGGAGGCCCCGGGCTTCGACTTCGCCCCCGGCTCCGGCCTGCGGCCTCAGCTGCTCGTCTTCTCCAACATCATGCGCGGCGGGGACGGGATCCTGGAGCTGGACCGGCTGAGTCAGCAGAAAGACGCGCCGGACCCGGGTCCCCGGTCCGGCCGCGCCGGCCCGGCCGTCAACAACAACAACAACGCAGGGGGGCTCCGGGACGCCGAAAGGCTGCAGCCGGGGGGGCAGATTCAGCAGCAAAAGCAGCAGCAGGGGGGGCAGAGACAGCAGCTCCAGCTGCAGAACCGGCCCCCGGGTCCCAGCGGTTCCGTGCCCCCGGAGCTGCAGGGCCGGATCCAGCCCCCCGGATCCGACCCCCTGACCGTGCTGGACTCCAGGGAGGGCGCCGTGTTCGAGCTGGCCCGGAGGTTCGGCGAGCTGGGGGTGGACGCCGTGCCCAAGATGCTGTTCAAGGCCGGCGCGCTCCCCAACTGCTCGTGCCAGGGCGCCCACGGGTCCGTCGGGGCCGGGGGGGAGCCCGGCGACGACCCCGCGGAGACCAGCGACGCCCTGCTGGTGCTGGAGGGCCTGGGCAGCGGGGACGTGGAGGGCCTGGGCGGCATGGGCCAGGACGAGGCGGACGACGAGGACCGGCGCCACGAGTTCCTGCTCGACCGCAAACGGGAGATAGTCAAGAAGATGTCGGGGGCTTTCTCCATCGGCGGCTTCCAGGTGGAGCTGAGGCGGCAGGTGGAGGAGGCGGACGCGGGAGGGGGCGGGGCGCACCTGGGCGCGCAGGTGTGCGGCTTCCACGGGGCCGTGCCCGGCCGCCCGCCCCCCTACGCCGGCTCCGGCCACTCGGAGGCCGCGGTCCACGCGCCGGCCAAGTTGACGACGCCCACCCAGAGCTCCCCCTGGGCCACCACCCCCAACCCCAGCCAGGCGTCGACCCCCCGGAGGCGCCCGGAGCGCTGCGCAAGCGCGCCCCGGACCCCCACGGGCCGGGCCGCGGGCGGGGAGAAGGCCTTCAAAGGTCCCGGGAAGTCCAAGAAGGGCTCGCTAAAGATCCGACTGAGCAAACTGTTCCGGACTAAAAGCTGCAACGGCTCCAGTCACCTGCTGGATAAGAGACCCTCGGTGTCGTACTCGGTGTCGTCTGCCGGGAGTCTGGTGGACATGGCGGGTGCGTCGTGTCCCGAGCAGGATCCTGACAGGTGAGAATGCTATAGACAAAAAAACAAAACAACAACAAAAATGGTCATGTGAATGAGTGTGATCAGAAAATAAGAGCATCCAAATTGAAAAAAAAAAAAGGTCGAGCGCATGATGCTCCCACCGGAAGCTGAGCTGCTCTGAGACTCTGTCACTAACACTTCTTCTGCATCCCCCCCTGTCCTTCTCATCTATCTTTTCCTTTCCTTCTCCCTCCGCCTGTGTTGTTGTCGATACAGCCACAGCCAGGCCAGACTGACCAGGGCCCACAGTGCCTTTTCCCCTGCATCCCTCTCTGCTTTCACTGGTAAGGTCTGCTTCGCTTAAGAAAACGGTTGAAAAATATGGAGGCAGAATAGCCAATCCACAGCCTTTACTGTGAGCTATTACTGTGTATCATAGTAACCAAACAGGAAAAAAAAGTCAAATGAGACTAAATATATTGTGGCCACTTCTCTTCAACACTTTCTCTTCATGCTTCTCTTTAACAGCACCATACTGAGTCTTTCACTATTCGAGCATGTGCACACTCTTCTTCTTTTGTTGCTCCTTTTGGGATGAGATAGGGTCCAACTTTTGATCAAGCTGCAAAACACTAAGATTAAAACGAGAGTTTTAATTCAACAGAGTAGTGTAAAGATGTTCCGAATATGCATTATGTGAAAAGGACCTTAAGATATGTTCCTCATCAGTCAAACCACAGAACAATAAAGAGGTATAAAACCACTAAAAAAGGTCAAGTTGGCCCTGGACATTTACTGGCATAACTGAAACATTATTACATTTTGTCTTAAACAATGATCAAGTCATCAGTTCAACCATCTCCAGGTGACATAATGATATTTTAGTGCACGTTTAGGACCTGGAGGGCCCCAGGCTCCTTATGGCCATTGACCCAGAACCAGTTTCATTCCAATTTGAATGTCCACAATGTTACTGTAAACCCCCAAAAATAAGAAAAGGTACAATCTGTAAGATAGAAAATAAACACTGATTTCTGTGAACAAACAGCCATCTCACGTGTAAGCAATAATATTCAAATAAGTTTTTATTTAATCATTTTTTGGCTTAAATGACACACTAAGCATCATGACATTGACAAATAATGCACCAAGCATGGAAGTAAACAGGCACTTTTTTTTTAAATTCAAAACTATTTCATTGCCCTGGCTATTCTAAACAGGCGGGATTACTTTTTGGCAGGAGATAGTTTGTCCATCCTCTTAATCCGCATGAGCTGTGCCAAACATTTACTATAATACATTTTTAATGCCGAGTTCTTTGGAAGTAAGTTGAAACTGTTGCTGGACTCACTTTAGGGGATTTCAGTCCAAAACCTCCAACGTTTTCTTTCAGGAAATTGTTTTAAAGACCCTTTAAAACAGATAAACCAGAAAGAGGTATCTATTATGCTCTAGATTCAGGAGAATGCTAACTAGCACAGGTGTCATGGGTGAAAATAATAATAATAATTTAGTTAAATGGAAGAAGGTAAAGCACATTAAGACCAAGACATTTAAAAAATATTGGGAGATGACAGACGTCCATTGGATTTTTTTGCAGAAATCAGTTAAAATGACAATTAAAGTGGTAAATAACTGACTTCTTCTCTCCAAGCTGATAAAAAACACAACTAAAATAATAAGGATGAGTGCTTTCTAATCTGTAGTAATGGCTGCTCTTTACCATCCACACTGTTATATTACACCTACATGTTTCATCCAGCAGTTTCTGAGATACACATTTCAGGCGTTTGTATTTTTTCCTATTTGGCTGAAAATACTTTTTTCTGTATATTTCTTAGATCGGTTTTCGATCCACATTTTTAAAGATATTTCATTTGTTTCAGGTAAAACTGGCCTGTTTAAAGAATAACTTTGAGTAACTTTGCCACTTAGTAAATAATGAAAACCCCCAAACAAAGACTTAATAACAAACAGGCTCCAGCTACATTTAATGATCAGTATGGCAGGTTTGTTATAGAAAAATTTGGAAAATTCTGTCTCTCCCATGTCAAAAAACGTTCATCCATGCTGCCTATTTTTGTAATAACACTCTGTCCCCAATAGTATGTACCAGATTTAGTTTTGATACAGTGCAAACACCAAAACAGAAAATACCACTGTACAGATTTTCACACTATGCAAATAAGTCGAATTTGTAATGTTGGATTTTAGGGGACCTTTAGTGGACTTTCTACCGAATATGTGGCCATGTGCATTCAAGTTGATAAGTTCTATGTTTCCAGCTCAAAACACTCTTTCTAAACTTCAGTGTAGCATCAGAACTGGAATATTAGTCAAATAAAATAAAAAAGCCTTTCTGAGTTAGATCACCTATTAAAAGACAACCTGACAATGCTCCTAACAACTGTCAAGTGACCATATTATTAAAATCTTACACACATAATGTACTTTTTTACATAACAACATACCTGTTGACTCTACTGTGACTTTTGTTGGATTATTACACCTGTGGGTGTTTCTAGAAACTAACCCAATATCCTCACACATGTTTAACAGATTCCTATGTTATAGATATGAGAGTTTGAGCACTGTCCACTGAAAGATTGGCCGAACTGACCAGCTGGCACAATTTATTTAGCTGACTTAATAAGAATATGTTCACAAGGAAAAAGGAAAGGGAGTTTTCTTTTCCATTGTTGCCTTGTGCATGCTCAGGAAGAGGTTTGAGTAAAAAGACTCATGATGGTTTTCTTAGCTAGACAACTGTTTATGAATTTGTTTTTTAGATTAACATAACTCATGTGGATTTGAATTTATGACTAATAACTATTAAATCAACTGAATATGCACTATATAAATAGAATGTAATAGCAGGATTTGTTTTTAATGGTCCCTCGTGACCAAAAATTAGAACAAACATTAAAACCCTGTTCATTCACTTTGGGCACTCTGTGTAAACAATTTCCTTGACGTTTTTCAGATTCCAAAGCCTGAAGTCACACACATGTTTAAACCGGCTAGTCTAGAATGTTTTACGACCAAAAGGAAATATGACAGAGGCCGAGACGTGATGGATGAAATAGTTAGGCTCCAAGCATTTAGTTTAGTTTCTGGCAAAGTGCGGGATTTCATTTGCGTAACCAGAGACTCTTTTCTTTCTATTTCTCGTTAAAATTTCTCCTTCCGTGTGATTGTTTTCTGGCCTCAGGTGAGACTGTTTCTCTAGTGGACGTGGACATCTCACGGCGAGGGACGAACACACCGCACCCCCCCACGCCCCCCGCTCCTCCACGCCGAAGTCTCAGTCTCTTAGGTACTTTTTTTTTTTCTCTCCCTATCTCGCCATCTTTCGTAGCGTTTCTCTGGAATATCCGCGTCTTTTGCCGCTCACATTTTCTGGTATCCGTTTCCAGAAAAACTCTGACACAGACAAGTTTTGGTAATCTGCTTTAATCAGATTGGTGGAGCTTTGAAAGGTCAGCATCAGATTTCATTCGAGATCTGGATGCGGTCACTCAATTGATGGTAAACAGAAAATCCTCTGCGATTTGTGGAGAAAAACACGTACAGGTTTTGTTTGTTTTCAACGACTCCTTTGTCTATTTTTTTTTCCTTCTACTGGCCTTTGGCGGTACAGTAGTTTGATATTTAGTGTCCCTTTTATGACCTTTTCAATGCTACTTTTAGCTATGAACTTGTGTTATTTAATGACCTAAATATCTATTAGATCTCTATCTGCTCCAAGACAAAAGGACGTTTTTTTTTTCCCTGAACACCAACATTTGAGGATTCTACTACATTTTTTCCTCATCTTTTTCTCTTTAAAGTATCTATCAAATATACTGGAAGTCCTCTAAACATCTGGTGTTAGGCCCCTCTGAATTCAATTGTTTCAGTAGTTTATGTGGAAGTGAACGAAAGAAAAGGACAAACATTGTGGTTGAAGTTTCTTGGTTCAGGTCTTTGAAGAAACCGTCATAATGGTGACCTTTTTTTTTTAGTTCGAACACGTTCTCATTCGATAATCACAACACAAAACTGGTTTGTACAAGTTGTAAAGACTCCCTGTCTGATGGTGCTGAGAGGTCCTCCTTTATATATATATCTTTTTTATCTTCCTTCTTTTATTTATCCACCCGTTTCCTCCTCTTTATGCACTTTACTCCTTGCTCGTTTTTCTCTACTCTTCCCCTTCGGTTCGTCCTCTTTCCTGTCCCGTCGTCTCTCACGCCCTCTATTTTTGTTTTTTCTCTTGCCTTTTTGTCTCTTTTGTCCTCCTCCTCCTGTCCTTCCTCCAGATGACATAGCGGGTCCTCAGCCAGGGCCTTTTATAGTGAGTGTTATGGGTGCCTCTTTGCAGTCCCTTCCTTTGCCTCTCCCTCCTCCTCCTCTTCCCTCCCACGCCACCATCCAGCATAGTCTCAGCCTCAATGGTAAGACATGTCTGGGAAGTCGGGATTTAGAAAAAAACGGTGTCCTCTTTGGTGCCTTTTTGAGTATAAACTGGGATATTCAGCCATGTTTCTCGATA